AAATGCTTACAATACACATGCACATACTTAACTCATGTAAAGCAAAACCCCTTTGCTCTTCAAGTTCTTAAGAAAAGAGTATGATGTTCATTTTTCTACCCCCCCCTTTTTTTTCACTTGGCCTACACTCTTAACTGGCAGGGTTTGCAGAAGGAGGAAACTTAGCAACCTACTCAACAAAGTTTAGAATAGCTTCAATTAAAAGTCATCTAAAAATAACAATAAAACCTCCTTTTCTCTTCTGAGAGCAAAATTTAAACGCTTGTATCATTTATCCTACTAAGTTCTATGATGTTTTTCTGCTTATAAAGTGCTCTATTCAATAACTCAGATATATTTTTTAAAATATAAAATCTGGTCCTTTAAGGAGTCCTTGAGAGCCTAGCAGGAGAATTACAAGCTTATTCTAGTAACTGATATAAACTAACATCAATGGGAATTAAGTAAAGGGAGTCCATGGATCAAACAATCACAGAATTTTATACAGATCTAGGTTATTTATAAAGTTCTTGACCTGGGGGTTTGTACAGAGAGTGCTAAGCTTTCTTCTACAGATCAAAGCCATGAGGAATGGTGCAAAATACTGCATGATGCTAAAAGTAGTTATCTTGAGCAAAACCAAAAATTAAACAAAGCTAGGATAAAAGGGAAAAAATCCAACCAAAAAAGCAAAATATGAGGGGAAATTAACTTTGTTGGTAATTTTTTTGGATGGATGACTAATGAGTGGATGAATAAATAATATGTACTCTTAAGCCACTGAACTTCTAAAATTAGAAGGCTGCAAGTGGCAAGGCAAAAGAAAGTTCTGTATGTGCCGGCTGTCTGATATCCCAAGGTGACATCTCAAGTTCTGTGAAGAGCTTAAACTTTCCTTCTTACTCAAGACAGTGCTGTCCACAGAACATTTTTGTTATGATGGAAATGTTCAATATCTGCACAGACAGATAGTGAATACTCGAAATGAGACAGTGTACCTGAAGAACTGTATTTTTACTTATACTTAATTTTATTAATTAATTTTTTAAAAGATTTATTTATCCCAGAGGGGGGGAGGGGCAGAGAGAGAGAGGGAGAGAGAATCTCGAGCAGACTCCCTGCTGAGCATGGAACCTGACAGTGGGGCTCGATCTCACAACCCTGAGATCATGACCTGAGCGGAAACCAAGAGTTGGACACTTAAACGACTGAGCCACCCAGGTGCCCCATTAACTTTATTAATTCAAATATAGGTTTTTGTTTTTTTTGAGCAAAGCAATAGAAGTTTATTAAGTGAAGATACAGAAAAAGCTCTCAAGAGTGAGAGGGGTCCCGACAGGGTTGCCAATAAGAGCCTTTAGGGTTGGTCTTTTATAGAAAGCTAACCAGGGAACTTAAATCCTTTAACATTCCTAATGATAACACCTTCAATGGCTTACTTCCTTTTTCCCTAAAAAGGTTATTCTTTGTAGTTAAGTTTAAATAGCCACACAGGGCTAGTGGCTAACATACTGGACAGTGCAGTTCTAAAATTATGAAAAAACATAGTAAATATCTAACTCTATGTACATATGTCTATTTTTTTAAATCTTGCTCTAAATAGTATATATTATTACTTTATGTAATACTGTAAAATATTATTGAATAGATCACATACTAATCTTGGTTTTCTAACTATATGTTTATCTAGTCAAAACTACTCAGTTTGTTAACTCTTACTTGGAGAAGTTATCAAGGTATAAGAACAGTGAACAAAAGAAAACCACCCTTTATGGGCTAGTTCCACAAAACTGAGTACACACAATAAGAACCAATGGTCCATCTTTGAAAATAAATTATCTTCAGAATGCCCCTGAGGGCACTGTGACTTGCCTTTTTCAGAGTCCATTTTCTCATCTTGATAATTCTTGCAACTTTTGCCTTATATAATTCCTTTTTTCTTTGTTTTTCTAAAAAGACTTTATTTATTTGAGAGAGAGAAAAAGAACATGAGCAGGGGGAGGGGCAGAGGGAGACAAGCAGACTCCCCACTGAGCAGGGAGTCGGACGCGACGCAATCCCAGGACCCTGAGATCATGACCTGAACCAAAGGCAGATGCTCAACCAACTGAGCCACCCAGATGCCCCTGCCTTATATAATTCCCAAGACTTGGGCAACTTCTCTCTTATTTGCTTCAGGGTGAGTATGTCTTTTCCTTTCCTAACAATATTCTCTAGGATATGGGAGCCAAAGACACAGTGAACTGACTTGCCCCTTACTGTAACCCTTGATGGTTGTCAAACTGACATTGATAGGTGCATCTTTTGCTTCAGTGCATTTCTATGCTTCTGGCTCCATTCTTTGACTCCATTTCCCCCAATTCTACTCCCTCCTTTCTTTTTCACCCTTCTGGTGGGATTTCCCCAAGTCTTAATACTGGAGTATGCAGACAGATATATGGAATTGTAGAAAGGAAGCAGACTCACCTTTGGTACTCATTTCATGGAAGAGAGCAACCTGGTGAACCTTCTTTCCATTTTCTTCCAGCTAAGCCTCTGTTCAAGATACCCTTGTTCAATACTTAAGTACTTCATGTATACTTCAATTGTTGCTCTGATTGCTTCCAGAATAAGCAAAAAATTACCCATTTCTCTGAAGATTGCATACTTTTCCAGAAAAAGGAAGTGTGCTTTCTTGGACATTGAAAGGTGTCATCTTTCTAAAAGGCCACTGTGCTGCAGCTTTTAGACATTGAGGATGGGGAAGAACAGAAATTGTTCAGGTAAGCATGGGAGGAATGCTAGAAAAAGGCTGTATCTTGGGTAAAGGCAACAAGCTTGTGGACAAAGTCATCCATTAGACAATAAGTTATCTGACAACAGAGATGGATAGCCAACTCTTCAGCACATAGCATAGCACCTAGCACATAGATTTTCTTGTTAAACAAGACATAAGAAAGAGTCTGGAGTCTGGAACCAGGTAATGAAGGCATATTCAGGTAATTGGGCAGAATCAGACACTTAAGCAAGATTTGAAGTATCTGGAAAATAATAATTAGAGTAGACAACACATCTAGAATCCAAAACAAGGATTGGGGCAGGAGAGGAAAGCCAGGCAAGGGGAAAGAGTAGAGATAAATAGGTGAAAAGGAGAGATTGCTGATAGACACATCCTAATCTTCTGCATGAAACAGGTCTGCCTACATGCATCACATTTCCCCTAAAAAGCATGTTGTCAAGGCCATTATGTACTAGTAGGCACTTATATGCTGCACAATTCTTACATAGATCACAAGATTATGAGTTTTAAATGTCTTCTAAACAAAGCAAAAATGAATACCAGATATGGGATTGTTAGTCTAATTCAGCATTTAATCACTCCTTCTAGATCATGGTAAGGTCCTTCCTTAGGAAGAAAAGCTCTAGAAGATGTGGGAAACCATCTGGCCAATTCTGCCTAAACTCTTGCAGCAGGAAGCTCCATTTCATGGTAGCAAATGAGACCCAAGGTACAATGCTGAATTTTTAAAAAATGTAATTCCCATACATTTTTTTTCTTTGCTTCCATTTCATTGACTATTGGGGATCCAGAAGAAAAACAGTGAGCAATCAATGGACTGTTTTTTGCTTTAATGGTGAGAACTGAAACCAACATTGTTCCCCCTGTGTTAAGTGATACTGGGAAGAAACATATTATCCCAGTGGGTCTTTTGGAAGCAGACTAAGAAATGGAGATCAGTGTGCAGAAGATTTATTAGGGTGTGCTCTTGGGATTAACATTTCTGGGTTGCAAGGGAAAGAAGTAAAATTGAGGAGAGAGAGCTTGAACTGTGATAATAGTCCCACTGGAAGTCTAAGCTGACCAAAGGGAGTTCTAAAGCTGGGATGACCCTTCAGAATTGTTCTGAGTTGGGATAGAAGGGGCTCCAACCTCAGCGACTTTATATATCACATTAGTCAGTAGATGCGGGGTGCCTTTGAAAGGGGGCATGGTACAATTATCTATTGCTGCATAACAAACAATCCCAAACTTAGTGGCATAAAACAACAACTGCCATTTGTTATTATTATCTCAATTTTGAGTGTTGACTGGGCTCAGCTCCATGGCTTTTAGTTAGGGTCTCTCATGTCATTACGGTCAGGTAGTAGATGGAGCTGGAACTGTCTCAAAGGCTTCCTCACATGTCTGGTGTTTGATGATGGCTGTAGCTCAACCTCAGCTCTGGCTGCTAGCTGGAGCATGGCCTCTCCATGTGGTCTGACTTCTTCCTCACAGAGCAGATGTTTCTGAGAGCATTCCAAGAGTAATTGCAGAAGCTGTAAAGCCATTTATGACCTGGCTTCAGAAGTCACACTGCATTGGTTGAGGAAGATATAAATGTCTGCCCAAATTCAAGGGGAGTGGACATAGGTGCTACCTCTTGATGGGACAAATGGCAAGGTCATATTGTAACAAGAACATGTAGGAAGGAAGATACTGTTGTGGCCACTTTAAAAAAATATAATCTGCCATAGGACATGACATTGAGCGAGGCCACTATCATTAAATGAGGCAATCTTTTTAAGGTGTTAGCAACTGAGGGCTTTCTGCCATAGTAACCCCCCAGCAGTCAAAAAATAAGTCCCTTATTCTGGAAGCAAATCCGGGCATTCAGAGCATCCACCATATATATTTTCCTGTCCCAGAACTTTTTTTCTTTTCCAGCTTTATTGAGATGTAGTTAACATGTAACATTGTGTAAGTTTAAAGTGTACGTATATGTTGATTTGATATACTTATATGTTGGGAAATAGTTACCATAGTACCATTAGTTAACAACTCCATCACCTCACATAATTACCATTTCTTTTTTGTGGTAAGGATGTTTAAGATTTATTCTCTTAGCAACTTTCAAGTATATAATACCATATGTTAACTATAATCACCACACCATACATTAGATCTCCAGAACTTGTAACTGGAAGTTTGTACCCTTTGACCAGCATCTCCCTATTCCACCTATCCCCCAGCCCCTGGCAACCACTATTCTATTTTTTGTTTCTATGAGTTTGGGTTTTTTAGGTTTCATATATAAGTAATATTATACATTCCTTGTCTTTCTCTGATTTCTTTCACTTAGCATGATGTCCTCAAGGTCCATCCATGTTGTTGCAAATGGTAAGATATCCTTCTTTCTTATGGCTGAATAATCCATTGTTATATACCCATCTTCTTCATCCATTCATCCATTGACAGACACCTAGATTGTTTCCCTATCTTGGCTATTGTGAATAAGGCTCCAATGAACATGGGATTGCAGGTATCTCTTTGAGATCTTGTTTTCACCTCTTTTGGTTATATACCTAAAGTTGCTGGGTCATATGGTAGCTCTATATTTAACTTTTTAAAAAAGTTTTTATTTAAATTCCAGGTAGTTAACATACAGTGTAATATTATTTGCAGGTGTACAATACAGTGATTCAACACTTCCATACAACACCCAGTGCACATCACAAGTGCACTCCTTAATCCCCATCACCTATTTCACCCCCCCACCTCCCCTCTGGTAATCATCAGTTTATTCTCACTAATTGAGTCTATTTCTTGGTTTGCCCCCCTTTCTCTCTTTTTCCCTTTGCTCATTTGTTTCTTAAATTCCACATATGAGTGAAATTGTATGGTATTTGTCTATATTTAACTTTTTAAGGAACTTCCATACTGATATTCATAGTGGTTACATCAATTTATATTCCACCAACGATGCATGAGGGTTCCCTTTTCTCTACATCTTAGCCAACACTTATTGTCATATTTTAAAATTTTGGTAATAGCCATTCTAACAGGTGTGAGGTGATATCTCACTGTGGTTTTGATTTATATTTCCCTGATGATTAGTGATGCTGAGCACCTTTTCATGTACCTGTTGGCCATCTGTATGTCTTCTTTGGAAAACTATCTATTCAGTTCCTATGCACATTTTTAATTGGATTTTTTTTTTTTTACTATTGAGTTCTATGAGTTTCTTTTATATTTTTGATATTAACCCCTTACCATATATATGATTTGCAAATATTTTCTCCCATTCTGTAGGTTGCCTTTTCATTTTGTTGATGGTTTCTTTTCCTGTGCAGAAGCTTTTCAGTTTAATATAGTCTCACCTATGAATTTATGCTTTTTAGCTTGTGCTTTTGGTGTCATATCCAAAAGATTGCTACCAAGACCAAAATCAAGGAGCATCTTCCCTATGTTTTCTTCCAGAAGTTTTACAAGTTCAAGTCTTAAGTTTAAGTCTTTAATCCACCTTGAGTTAATTTTTGTGAGTGGTGTAAGATAAGGGTCCAATTTCATTCTTCTGCATATGATTTTCCACTTTTCCCAACACCATTTACTGAAGTGAATGTCCTTTCCCCCACTGACTATATTCTTGGCTCCCTTGTCAAATATTAGTTGACCATATATGTGAGTGTTTATTTCTGGGCTCTCTATTCTATTCCATTGACCTCTGTGTCTATTTTTGTGCCATAAAAACACAGTATATAAAACAATATACATTCAACGTGTTGTATATTTTCATATGCTTTCATGTTACTAATTATCATTCTTTTATTTCAGCTTGAAGAACTCCTTTTAGCATTTCTTGTAAGGCAAGACTAGTAGTGATGAACTCCCTCAGCTTTGTCTGGGAAAGTCTCTGTCTCTCATTTCTAAAGGACAACTGTGGTGAATAATCTTGGCTGGCTTTTTCTTTTTTTCAGTACCTTGGATATATCATCCCACTGTCTCCTGGCCTATAAAATTTCTGCTGAGAAATCCACTGACAACCTTATGGAGGTTCCCTTGTAAGTTACGAGATTACTTTCTCTTGTTGATTTTAAGAGTCTCTCAGTTTTGGGGGGCACCTGGGTGGCTCAGTTGTTAAGCATCTGCCTTCGGCTCAGGTCATGGTCCCAGGGTCCTGGGATCGAGCCCCACATCAGGCTCCCTGCTCAGCGGGAAGCCTGCTTCTCCCTCTCCCACTCCCCCGGCTTGTGTTCCCCCCTCTCTGGCTATGTCTCTCTCTGTCAAATAAATAAATAAAATATTAAAAAAAAAGATTCTCTCAGTTTTTGATTTTTGACAGTTTAAAATGACGTGTCTTGGAGAAGATCTCTTTAAGCTGAATTTGTTTGGTGACCCATGAGCTTCATGAACTTGGATATCCAAATCTCTCCCCAGATTTGAGAAGTTCTCAGCCATTTTTTCTTTCATTAAACTCCCTTCTTTCTTCTCTCGCTCTTCTTCTGGAACTCCGTTAATTCTCAGATTATTTCTTTTGATGGTATCATACAGAACAAGCAGGCTTTCTTCACTGTTCTTCCTTCTTTGTTCTTTGTTCTCCTCTGACTGGATAATTTTAAAATTCCTGTCTTCTACTTCACAGATTCTTTCTTTGCCTGATGCATTCTGTTATCGATGGTCTGTACTGCATTCTTCATTTCATTCATTATATTCTTCAGCTCCAGAATTTCTATTCAGTTTTTTTTATTTCTATCTCTTTGTTAAACTTGCATTTACTCATGTATTATTTTCTTGATTTCATTGAATTATCTTTGTGTTTTCTTGTAGCTCATTGAGTTTCTTTAAAACAGCATTTTGAATTCTTTATCAGGTAAATCAAGGTCTCCGTGTCTTTGGGATTGGTTACTGAAGGATTATTGTGAGCTAGTGATGATGTCATGTTTCCTTGATCCTTCATTTTCCTTGAAATTTTGTGTTGCTGTCTTCACGTTTGAATTAGCAGTCACCTCCTCTAGTCTTTGCTAACTTCCTTCAGGAAAGAAATACCTTCCATCAGCCCTGCTAGGGATTCTGAGGCTTTCGCAGACCTTCTATGGATATACCTGTTCCATGTTTCTTGCTCCCCCTTGTGGCAGAATTCTTAAGCTTGTATGTCTTCTCTTGATCCTGTAGCATACCAGAGCAAGGGCTGACAGTCTTCTTTTTGTTTTCCCAAAGGTGGATTAAAGCTCAAGTTTGTGGTCTCTCCCTGAACCAAGATTTGGGCTGGCACAGGTTTTTGTGTGTGCTCACCAGCCATCTGCCAAAGTTTGCTCTCACCATTGCCATTTGGAGCATGAACAGGGAGCTGTCCACAGGGTGTGAGCGTGTGTGGGTAAGGCACAAAAGCACTGGGGGTTGGGGTGGTGTACCCATGAGACGGTTGGGAAAATCTGTGGGTGAGGTGTCCCTAGTGGTTTGTGTGCAGGCTTCTTGATGGAGTCTATGACATGGTTAGTAGGATCTGCATTCCTTTAATGCCCTCTGAGAGTCCTATCTGTCACTCTTCCAGTCTCTTCTTGCTCCCCAAGTCAAACAGCTCATGATTCAGTGATAAATGATAAGTCGAGTAAGAGAGAAATGGGCCTTTCTGGCAGCAACCCACAAAGTTAGGAAAGCTGAGTGCTCACTCACACACTCTCACTTTCTCCCATGTAAGAAATCACAGTCAAGAGGATCTCTCTTGGCCTTAAGCTGTGCCACTTTGGGGGACTCAAGCTGTTCTTGCCCTCTCCAGTGTGTCCACATTCATATGTATGTGTGTGTGTGTGTGTGTTTTCCTGTAATACTGGAACTTCTCTACTGGAAACCTGAACTTCTACAAAGGCCCTCCTATCCATAGGTGATTGTCTGTGATGTGTTTTCCAGGGGTTCCCAGACTGTAGCCATGAGGGGCCAGAGTTGTTTCACAGGCCACTATGGGGCCCAAAGCCAGAACTGAGGTCTGTATGCCTGTTACCTGATGCACAGTTGGGTGAGATGCCCCTCAGTTTCCTTGGCGAATGGTGCTGCTCCCACAGTTCCCCACAAAGGTACTTTTGTCTGCAGATGGATGTCTAATTGCTGTTGTTAAGAGGAGGTAGAAATACGATGGACTAATGTCTTATTAAGCTGTCCCTGTGTTCAAAAGTTTGGGGACTATGCATACATTTTTATCGTCCCTATATTTAATAATGCTGACAATAAGAATAAAAATACCTTAGCTACTTGTTCCAGGAAATGCTTTCTCCTGAAAGAAAAGACTTTGAACCAGTTACAGTAGCTTGATCATCAAAACTCCCTTCAAGACCCTTGCTTCACTGGGCCCACCAATCCAATTAAACACTGCCCAGTCCCAGATAATTCCCTGCCTTGCATAGCCTGACTCAAAATCATCCAACTTAGGCCCTAAATCCCTATAAATATCATCCCTGAATTTACCCATTATGAGATACTACTAAAGTTCTTTTAAATTGATATTCTTACTTAGCTTTACTTGATCAACTGGTTATTCTGGTGGCCTTTTAGGGAAGCTGACAACTAAGAAGGAGAAAGTGTATACTCTGAAGAACCTTGTTCTACAGTGAGTTGACAAAATGAGAATGTTGTCATTTCAGAGAAAGCTGAGCTATTTATTAGTTTATCCACTGACAGCATGGAAAATCAAATTCCTCCAACGGAATCATAAATTTCAGGATTCAAAAAGACTTGAAATTTATCTAGTCCAATCCATCTGCTTGATACAGATGGAGAAGAAGCTCAAATCTGGGCTCAAATTAGAGTAAATTTTAGAGACTCCTTCAGTGCAACCAAGGGTTTTGGGATTCCTCTCTATTCCCTTATCTCCCCACTTCATTCTCTTCCTTTCCCTAGCCTTGGCATACCTTGTCCCTGTTCTTCCTCTTTGCAGATGACTAGAGAAAGTATCAGTCCTCCATCATGTTTTGGTGGAGGGTATCTGTGTTGCTACAGGGTTTCAGGGCTGGGTGTTTTCAACATATTTTTTAAAAACCTCCCATTCCAGGAAGCTAACATGTGGTCTCTATTATTTGAAAGGTCTCATTAAAATATAATATTGTCATGTCCACACCCCTAGTTTTGAAGCTGAAGGGAAATGAGGGTTAAATTTTTGGGGTATAATCTCATAGATAATGGAAAAAACTTTCTAGCAGTGTAGGCCTTCCTATCCATTTCTCTCTGATAATTCTAGAAGGACTGAGGGAAAAAAGTATTTTATCTTATCTTTACTAGAAAAATAACTAGGTGGGAAGGTTCTGGATTAGAGGTTTTTTCAAACATCTGTCTTTTAGCTAATCTATCCTTCATAAAAATGTGATTACCAGATCCTTAGTATATGTTAATTACTTGAAATGTCAGTGACTTGAAATGAAAAATATATTTGATAGTAATTTTAGTAACAACTGACAAGTTGTTATTCACATATTAGTGAGGAAAAAATCTATGTATGCACATGTGACAAAGATTATTGGAAATATTTTTATAAATAAAAGTGAAAAGAAGTTGCACATGGCTCTGAAGAGTTTCCCACTGGACTCTTACTGTGTGAAGATCAAGTGTTATACAGAGCTGATGACCTTTCATGAGTCTCAGGATTTCTTCCTTTTCTTTTTTTCCCCCCCTGTTGACTACTTGCTTCTCCCACATCACAGGTAATTAACAACAGATGATTTCTTGTATAGCTTTTATTTTTATGTTGGTTTAAGTATTGCTATATCCCATATTATTTTCAACTGTAGAGTTTAACAATCCACCCCTGGACAGTTTTTACATGTTAATAAGTCTGTATATGCATATGTGATGGTTGGAGCATGTCTTTGTAGTAACACAATGCACTCTTTATGATACTGCACTGAGTTCAGATTTTTTTTCTAAACTGCAACAAAATGTGAACTTTCTAAATTCATGTTAGAAATACAGATACAGTCCACAGACCTTTCTTTTTAACAGGACCCACACATAGACACAGCCTATGGACATTCCTTTTTAATGGAATGAGACACCAACTACACCAACTACACCAACTACACCACACAAACTACAAACTACACCAACACTGTGTTCCTGAGTTTTCTTTATCTTGTAAAAAAATAATTTGTGTTTCACATGGAAAAAAATATCAGACTTCCAGGTATTTTTTTTTGTTAGTCTACTCTCAACACATTAAAGGATGAGATGATTTATAAAAACACAGATGATGTGAGAAGGGAAAAGTAAGAGCTCTAAATACATTTTGCACATGATTCTACACAGTTTAAAGACACATTACATATTCAGCTCTGAGGTCCTCAAAGTAAAAATTTTTGCCATTTTACTCAACTCTAATACTAAGTGATCAATTTTAAGAAAATATTCAAAGACCGTGCATAAAAAATATTCAAATTTTCTACTCATAATTGTTTAATATACATTAGCAAAAAAGTTTATTATTTTCCTTATGGACGTTCATTAAAAATCCTGTCAGAATCATGAGCACCCGTGTGAAGTACAATTACATTTGTTCCCCTCCTCCTCCTTTCCACAAACATCTCCAGTCTCTCAGTATTTATATATGAATTCTAAAACACTGACAATAAAGCAATCTTCCCTCTTATGACTTCGGCAAGTGACTCCAAATCAAAAGAAATATTACCTATAACGTTAAATTTATTTTTAAATGTATCTGTTCCACAAGACTCTGATTTAAAAACTGCATAGTGATCAAATATGTTATTGCTCTGTATTTGGGCTTAAGAAAGTGTATCAGAAACATCTCTCAGTAAATAAAGGATTTTAAAATAGAATGTGCATGGTCATGCAATCTTACATGTCTGGAGAAAAACTTCTAAAGTAATTTAATGCAGAACCAACTGTAGAAATTTCAAATAACTATTCTCAAATATGAGGAACATTATCATGGCATCCTTTCTTTTTTGTCCTCTGTTGACTTCTCTGCCTCTTACCACCCTTGCCCCAAACCATAATTGTGATTATCCTTAGAAGACCAGAATAGACTTTTATTTTCTTCAGGAGCTACACAGTTCTCCTGGGTAAACAGGAGGATGCGAGTGTACTGGCTGTGAAACCAGACTACCAAGGATAGATTCCAAGTGCCATCACTTAGCAAGTTACTTTTCCTGTGCCTCAGTTTACTTATCTTAAAATAGAGATATAGATATATGTATATATACATATATATTTTTCTATCCAGAGTTGTGTCCACTTCCATTTGGAGACCATGGTATTAGATCCCTTTGGGGTTCATCCGAGGCCCCAGTGAGGGCTGGGCCAGCATGGGTTATGCAGAAGGGGTAGGGGAATAGAAGTGTACAGAACTCTGGGCCCCTCACCCCTGCTGCAATGAAAGAGCTCCAATTTCATTTATATTACATTTTACATATTAACCCTTCTAACAAATTTTCTTTGGAACAAAGAATTACACAGCTAAAACATGTTTGAAACTTTCCTCTGGAGAAACCTAGAAGCCCATGATCCACAGTCTGACGAATGCTTAAAACTGAACCCTGAACAGTTAACAGTCTTTTACTAAAGAGCTACATATGCCAGTTCCTGGGCTTTATGTTTTTTAAAACTTTTCTTGCATGCAAAATCACAGCCTTAGACCTAAAAGAGAAAATACTTTAGCCAAACATGCTATGAAAGTTTTGAATATAATTAAATGCTAAGTAAAAAACATTGGTTAAAAAATGCACTAAACTTTTTTCTTGACTGTGACATTTAGTAAAAAGTTTTGAACATTTTAGAAAAAGATAACATTAAAGCAAAGCTTAAAAAGGATATGGTTCTTGCGATATTTCAGTAAGTTTAATCTTGGTTTGTCTAGGGGCTTTGGAAATACCAGCTAACTCATGCATCTTAAGGTAATATAAAATCAGTGGACTCTGACCTCCAAAATTGAAGAGCACACGGTTAAATTCTGGACCAGTGCTAATATAATGGGACTGTAAAGGGAAGAAAAAAATCAAGTCAATTATTACTTTTATGTGTTTTTAAAGAACTGTAAATAAATATAACTTCATTGTAACTATAAATAAAGTTACTATTTGGTATACTAAAATAAATTAAAAGAAACTCTGTAAAGCATCTTTTTTAAAAAAGATTATTATTTATTTTAGAGAAAGAGTGAGTGAGCACAGGCGGGAGGGGCAGAGAGAGAGAGGGAGAGGGAATCCCAAGCAGGCTCCCTGTTGAGTGGGGATCCCCATGCGGGGCTCCATCTCAGGACCCTGTGATCCTGACCTGAGCCGAAATCAGAGTCAGACGCTTAACTGACTATGCCACCCAGGCACTCCAAGCATCTTCTTAAATAAAGAAATTTACTATAGTGTGAATCTATGAGTTCACGCAGTAAGACCCTTCTAGACTTCTTATTTATCAGCTTGATAAAGGTTAATAGAGATTATTCTGTCTGAAGAACAGAAATAAAAAAGAAAGAAGAAAATGAACAGAACTCCAGAAAAAGGGACAGGAAAAAATGTGAAGAAAAACATGACCAAAACCTCCAAACATTTGTGGAAAACATATTCAAGAAGCTTAACTCCAAGTAGGAAAAATACTCACCTAGACACATCATACTCAAAGTGTTGAAAGACCAAAACAAAAAGAAAAATCTCAAAAGCAGTAAGAGAAAAACAACATATAAGGGAACCCCAATAAGATTAAAAGCTGAATTTTTATCAGAACAAAGGAAGCCAGAAGGCAGGTGGATAATGTAACCAAAGTGCTGATGGAAAAAACTGTTGACCGTGAATTCTCTGTCAGGGAAAGTGACCATAAATATAATTGCTTATTACTGGCTTCTTGTGGGATACAAGGTCAGTATAGCAACTACATATATTATGTCTTTCCTCCATTTTTGTAATGCATAGATGAGAGATTTATTATTTCCACTTCCTGTGAGGAAGCGAGATCTTATTCTCATTTGCTTTTACTAATACATAAAAGTTCTCTTGTGTTTCTTTTGCTTAGGGTCACTTTTTCATTGCTTTCCTTCAGAGATGCTCCATAATTATTTTGAACAGTAGGACTATCATAATCAAAAGCAATTCTTTGATGGTGAAAACTCAATGTCAAAATC